AGATGGCACGAAAAGGCAATCCCTGATCACATCCCTCCGACCTGGGGTTCTGAGCTTTTAATATCCCTCCGGGTCTGGGACTTTCCAAACCCAGCAGAGCAGGCTGGGGGCTGATGAATGGTAACTCTCTGACCAATTACAAAGCAATTAAAAGTCCCACCAAGAAAGCTTTGCATATGGACTTTAATTATTATACCACAGTCCTGCCAGAAAAACACAAAAGAGGATCTCGGGCGGCTTGGAGGATGCATATGGCTTGTGTAGGTGGAGAGACCTAAGAGACTGTTACTTTGGGTAGGAAGTGGATTTTCCCTCTCCTATAATCTTGTTAAATTACCCTGGTTTTAAATCAATGATTTATATCTCCCTCTTCAAATCCAGAGGGGGGAAAAAAAACCCAAACCCTCTCTAAACAGCCAGTGTGTGACAAGCAATACATTTTCACTTTCATTTACCCTCACACTGCAAAGTTCACTCAGCGAACCAGAAGTGTTATAGGAAAATACTGGGAAGGACTGGTTAAAAAGAAAACCTTGGCTGAAATGAGATGGAAAACAGATTTCCCCGGTTAGGTAAGTATCAGAAAATAATACATAATGTTAGACATCCGAAAAGGGAAGTAGGAAAATATTTAGAAATTTGCATAACCATTTGCAGCCTAAGAAAAGCACAGAAAAACAGTTTCATTAAGAAAGGACATTTCAAACAGGAGGCAGTGCTGGATCTTCCTGGGAAATGGCCATACCCTGTGTCCAGCACTGACCTTTTGTGAGTGCCTGGGTAACTGGCTAAGGATTCCCAAAGAGATTTTCATTTGCCATTTGGGTTTCAGGGAGTCTTCCTCCCTGCTACACCAGTTCACATCTGTGTACATCTAGAAGTTTCCAGGGGGAATCATCTTGTAGCAACACTCAAAATAATAAAATAAAGACCCAGGACAGATATGGAACTGAGGCCATGCTGCAGCCCACCTGCAACAGGGAGCACTCCGACTCTATCCAATTAACATCTCATCAACCCTCCAGTTTTGTGAAAGCCCCATTGAGCACCAAAGCCTTTGTTACTTGAAAGCCAACCAAGTCTTAGGCTGCACTTAAAGAAGTGTGGGCAGCAGGACTAGGGAGGTGATTCCCTTCTCTATTCCACTCTTGTGAGACCCCTCCTGGAGCACTGCATCCAGCTCTGGGTCCCTCAGCACATGAAGGATGTGGACCTGCTGGAGCGAGTCCAGAGGAGGCCGTGGAGATGGTCCAAGGGCTGCTGCTCCGAGAGCTCTGCCCTACAACCCAAATGCCCCATGTAAGGTATCACCAGCAGTGACAGCAGAGAGGAACTGCGTGTCCCAGAGCCGGGAGGAAGCACTGACATCACCCAGAGACGTCTTTAGCTCTGCTGACTCACTGCTCTTCCCCCCAGCAGGAACAACAAGCAAGCACTGGGAGCGTTCCCACAGCAGGCTGTGTCACCGCTGCTGGAGCCGTGGCTGAGCAAGGCGTAGGGGAACACAAAAAAAAGCCCCTTTCTATTTCTGGACCCCGAGTGAGGTGGATGGGTGGAAATCACCAGGCTCCCAGTTCCCGTGGGAAGCCATTAATAACCTCCTCAACACTGCCACATCCTTCAACAATGGTGCTATTATGGGATGCTGAGAGGGGAGCCATGGGGTTGGTAAGCCCACAGGGCTCCTTCCCCCACGCTGCCCACCAGGCACTGCCAGGACGGTCCCACCGTGCCCCAGCCCTGGCACGGCACAAGATGTGACTTTGTGTGCCTGTCCCCGCTGCCGACGGCGCGTTTGGAAAGGAAATCCCCCCACGTGGCCTGGAGGACCGCGAGGGAAATAAAGCCATCTGTTCATTGAGACAGACCTGCTTCAAACCAATTAATATAAAGAGCTTATATTAAAGGGTCTCGCTTCGATGCAAATCCCTTCTTGTAAACAAACCTTACAGGTCCCAGCTCCAGTCTCCAAGGCAAGTCCCAATCTGATTAGTTACTCCACATACCTTAAATTCCCCCTTACCAATGAATAAAACTATCTTTTTGCTGACATATATGAAACACTTATTGAATTTCACCTTGAGGTGTCCTTTTCAGTGCTATTTAGTGAAACTAGGACCTCTCTGGGTGAAAAACAAGCAAATTAATTTGTTTTCTTGGCAGTAGTTGTCCTCCAGACCACCACCCACACACCGCAGCACAAGACCTCCACCACAGGCCAGCACACGTAGAGTTTTATCTCCCATATATGCACCACTGTGGACTATTTTTGGATGCCTGCCTAAAGCAGAGCACACAGGGCAAGGTGTGCAGTTCAGTATATTAAAAACAAGGGAATTAATTAATGAGAAGGAAATTCAGCAACAGTTTTCTGCCATTCTCCAAGCAGCAGCCCTGGAAAGCACCTGTGGGAAAAGCACATTGTGTAGGTGAGCTTACCTGGGCAGGATGAGGACTGAGTGTTGCTGAAGGAACACACACATATTGGCTCTATGGACTCCAGAAAAGCAGTGGGATGAGGAAACAGTCACCCCTATGGAGGAAATGCATTAGCTGGATGATGGTTGTAAACATGGTGAGCACCAAACCGGATCCACAGGCTGCTCCTCCACAGCTCACAGAACGCTGAGGAAACTCTCCACAGCTCCTTTGAGCAGGAGCCTTCCATCTCTCCACAAAGACCCTTTTTTTTTTTTCCTCAGATGGTTCATTTGTCTTCTCAGTCTTTCCATTTAAACACACAAGCCTGAAAGTTCCCAAAATTGTAACACAAACTGGCAAAGCCATTTAGCAATGCACATCCCTGCCCTTTCCAGCTTCAGCCCTGCTCCCCACAGCAGGGATGTGGTTCCAGCTCACCTCAGTGGGCACATGACCAGCAATAAAGAGGGCTTGATCCTGGGTCAAAACCAGCCTGATTTCTTTCTCTTGACTCATACATAACTTTTTTTCCTACTATGTTTAAAAACAGACACAGAGAAGCAGAAAATGACAAAATTATGAGAGCTAACTGAATATTAAGTAGTATATACCTCGGTTATTTCCATTTCTTCCCTGTCCTCATAAGTAAAGCTGAGTCTCTAGGTGGTACCTGGGGTGTTCACACAGAGGTTTTGTTTCTCTTTTCTTGCTTCAAGTCAGATCCCCTTCACTTGAGAGAAGTCCTTCTTCCCAAAGAGTAATGGCAATTTCCCAAACACGGACAAAATAATGGCCCTGCAGTAGAACACTGAAAGAGAGGAGAGTGAGGTGCATTCCTGGGGAAAAAGGAAAAAACCCCTTTTCATTAAAGGTGAACTCTGCTGTCAGCTGCAGGATTTCCAGTCAGTACAGAACAAGGATCTCCCCTTCGACCTGGAGGCAGCAGAACAGGAAGTTTTGGTCTTACAAAAAAATTAATGAAATAGTGAAATTGTGGGTGCCCTTTACCTGTGTGTGGGGCAGAAGCTACTGGGAGCTGCTGAGCTGCCCTGAAACTGCTGCAGCAGGGAGTCTGATGGCAAGAGAAGAGCTGGTGCTGGGAACACTTGTGAATTTGGCATTGAAAGTGTTACAGAAAACATGCCATAAAGTTCCTCTGAGGCTTTAATTTCCCTCCCCCCAATCTTCCTTTGATTTTGATCCCCTCCTTCCCTCGTGTCCTTTGAACTTTTAAAAAGGCACTTTGAAGGGATGTCATAAAGCAGTGGGTTTATTCAGGATCTCCTCTTTGATGCTGCTGCTGCCGCGTGTGAAGTGCGGCCCTGCAGGATGTGGGGCCAGAGGAGCCGAAAGCCGAGATGGAAAGGAAAGGGCAGAAAAGTGAAAGTGGGGACACAGGGTTCTGCAACAGCTCATGGACACAGGCACAACCCCATGCTGGATTCTGGGCTACAGGGACCTGGTGTGGTTACACCCATCATGCTCCTCCGAGGTCACTCTGGGCTGGCAGAGCTCAAGGGGGAAGTGATGGGAATGAGGAAGAGGTGCAGCTGGCTTGGAATCCTTCATCCCAAAGGCCATCCCCATCTCACCACAAGGTTACAGGTGTATGACAGTTCCGCACACGCAGATGTGATATCCCCACGGGAACAGCCATGTCCATGTCACAAGGAGCATCTCTGCCAGCTAACACCCAGGGATCAGCCCAGCAGCTCCAGGACTCAGTGTTGGAATCACCCAGCAGCCCTTCCCACCTCCAGCTGTTCCAGTCGTAAAAGGCCCTGCTGCGACTATATGCAAAATGTTGTTAAATAATCAAAAAAGTATTAAATAATCCTATGCACTCATACTACACAATCACCAAGAACAGGTATTCAGCTTCTAAGGCCATCCCTTTGGAAAGATGATGACCCTGTCCATGCAGAAGGAAGTGGATGCATAGCTCAGCACCACCACCAGTTCTTCAGACCCAGGGAAACTGCATGTTCCAAAACCCCCTCTCCATACTGGAATATCTAGAAAGCTCAGAATCACAGGATCATTAAGGTTGGAAAAGCCCTGTAAGGTCATCGAGTCCAGCCTCAGTGGATCCCAGGCTTACGCTGGGTGACTTTATTTCCTCTCCTGAATGTCTTTCTGAACAAAAATTGGACATTTCCACAGCAAAGTTGGTTTTGCAGCACAGGCCTTCATGGCACGACGCCACCAGTTGGAGCCTCTCAACTTTATTTAACCTTTGCATAGGGAATTGCATTAACTCATCCAAGAGAACCTCTCAGCAAGGGAGAAACAGATGTTCAGGCATTAGATAAGCTACGAGCAAGTCCACGGCATTTATCAGCAAGGACGTGGGTTTGGGGTCAGTTTTGTTATTTTTAATGGTTGACCAGTGGTAGGAATTATTCAGAAGTAAGTGAAAATTATCCTGAAAATTGCTTGAGGGTCTTTTGAAAGGATATTTTTCCTCAGTTGCTCCTTTTTACCTGCAATATCAATTTCTATTATTTTTTTTTAAATTAGAGCCAAGTATCTTCTCCTGAGACTGAATGCAGATGCAGCTGGAACAGGAAATTTTAACTTGCTTCCAACCTGGGAATTTTGCACTTTAAACTTGAGATAAGGAGAGAACTTCATTTTAAAGACACATGTGCCCAAACAAAAGACAGTTATACTTCCAGAGGGGCCACCCCGCAGTGCTCCTGAGAAACCAGTGCTGCAGAAAATAGCAAAATCTAAAGGCCTAAGCAATTCTAGTGTACATTTACTAAATTATTCCCATTTAATATGCTCCTAGAATCATAGAAACACAGAATGGCTTGAGTTGGAAGGAACCTTAAAGATCACCTAGTTCCAGCCCCCTACCATTGTCCCTTTCTCCTGTCACTCCAGGCCCCTGTCCAAAGTTCACCTCTTTTGGAGCCTTTAGGTACTGGAAGGTTGCTGTTACATATATAAATATATATATATATATATGTATATATACACACACATACATATATACAGAGATGATATATACATATATATACACAAACTCAAAGGAGAAGGAGATTTGAGGGATTACAACCCCTCTGCACTTAGGATTGTCCTCTTGAAACACTGAGAAGAAAGGCCAGCCCCTTTTATCAACACCCAAGCAAAGCAGTACCTGCACTGCCCGGGAGATCTCACAGAGGACAAGGACAAAGCAACCAGGGTTCTTCTTGGTGCAGCCAAGTGGCCTTGGGAAGCACCATGGCAGGCTGGTTCCTCCTACAGGTGCTCTCTTCACACAACCATCCTTGGGGAAAGCAACCAAAGAGGAAAAACTTTGGTAGTAAATGAAAATGGAGTATTCAGTGAAGGGCATTTTGTGTTAACGGTAGATTTTTTTAAAGACACATTCAGAGAACTAAAGCTGCAAATATAAAACCTGGCACTACAGAGAAACCCAGGACTCAGCCTGCCTGCATCAGGCTACCCAAACAGCACCCAAAACTCAAGCCCTGAGGTTTTCATCCTCCTTGAGCCCTGCTCGCCCATTCACATGGGTCATCTCCTCCATTTTGTACCCAGGGCTTCCCAAGGACCTTCATCAAGAGGAGAGAAAGGAAGAAAGAGCTGCCCTGCCGCGGCCAAACCCGCTCTGCAGCAAAGTAGGTCAAATTGAAATGCTTTGCACTCATCTGAAGGTCACTACTGTCTCCCCAGCCTGTGCTGGGCAAGCTAAAGTGTATTTACATTGAGAAGATGCAGAGAGGTTTTGGAGCTGGAAGTGGTTAGAGGAAAAACAGGCTGTTAAAGAGAGCAGGAGCATGAGCCTGCATCCGAAATGGTGAATGCCAAGGGAGGAAAGAATGAAAAATCCCAAATATCAGACATTTCCCTCAAAGGGCAGGAATGTTAGTCCTGCCTTCCCTGCTCCTGGTAGCACTGGTGGGTGTTCCTGGTACAAACTACAGCACTGACAAGAGACCTTGGGTAACATTTGCAGAAGGCTTTGACACGGAAAGCTCAAATTCCCCTTTACGGAGGCAAAGTCTGACAAAAGCATAATGGAAAGAGGCTTCTGACGGACAAAAATTGACTCCCTGGCACACGCACAAGCCCACGCAAACTTTCCAGCCTGCCCTCCAAGTGTGAGCACTGGTGTTTCCATTAAGTGCCTGAGAGCTCAGAAAGCATCCGGAGAAAAAGTAAACTCATGATTAGACTGAGAACGACTTTTCCCTTGAATTTCTGCAGAATTATTACAAGTAGTTTTGCAACAGGAGCACAGATTTTAGGGTATTTGTCTGAAATCATTGTTGGGAAGACCTGTCAGAGGAGACTTCATGTAGAGGTAGAATCATAGAGGAAGAAATCACAGAATTATTCAGGTTGGAAAAGATCTCTCAGACCACTGAGTCCAATCGTTCCCCCAGCACTGCCAAGGCCATCACTAAACCATGTCCCCAGGTGCCACATCTACATGTCTTTTAACATGTGACTCCTCCACTTCCCTGGGCAGCCTGACTCAATGCTTGATAACTCTTTTAGTGAAGAATTTTTTCCTAATATCCAAAATAAACCTTCTCTGGCACAACTTGGGGCAGTTTTCTCTTGTTCTATTCCTCGTTACTTGGAAGACAAGACCTCTCTACAACCTTCCATAGAAAACAGATTGGAAAGAGCTCTAGATCTGGAGCCACACTGAACTTTGGGAAAGCCCAAACCTAGACCAGGCTGGCTTTCCTGCCCCTCCAGCATGATCCCACCACCAAGCTGGGCAACTGGAGCCTCAGGAAGGGGACACACCTTGACACAGCGGTTACATCATGTCCATCATTCACACATTGTACAGACCATCTCCTCTGCCCCCATGCATAGCTGTGAAAGCCATAGCACTGCCTGCACAGGAGAGTTATGTTAGAAAACTAATTAATGTATTTTGGCTGTCTTCTAATGAAACTCGGCAGCTGGAAGCAGGCACGGAGCCAGCGCCACGTGACCTCAGCTCAGTTCTCCCTTGGACACGTTTCAGGAATCTCTTTGCTGAAGTATCCAGTTGTCCTGCACGACTCTTTTCCCCCCCAAACTGAACTAATCAATGTCTGGCTGCAA